CGATTTTAATGAAACGATACAAATCAGTTTGACAGCGTCTAAACTTAAAATTAAAAAGTTATCACCATTGGATTCTTGTCTAGTAAAAGATCTCTTATGATATTCGTGAAGCTATTTACCTACTACCTACCCTATGTTTTCCAGCTTTCATTCATTAACTGCTAGATAAAGCAACAAAGGTTAAAAAGTCTATTAAGGCTTAATTAAAAAGGTGGAAAAGTAGGTAATCATTGTAGGGAAATATGAGAAACAAAGTTCCATTAAGGTGTATATATAAGAGAAACATTGTTTTTTAAGACAATTAAATAATTAAACTTTTGGACTGATTTGAATTGATTGCTAGATTTTGAGGGGTCCCTTAATTGTTTATAGTATAACTTTTTTTTAATGATACTAATTTAGAGCCTAATATAGCGGTGGTTCACAGATACTGTAAACATACAATTTCATGACTTCAAAACCATTACTTTCGACGTAGTTTGACTTAGCGCAAAAAAATTTATAATTTAAAATGAATTGTAGATATTTCTATGACTATAAATTATTTAATTGATAAAACGAGAATTTCAAAACTAAATTATATATGGAGTATTATTTTTTGGAACTGACTACATGGAAAAATGAGTCGTATAAATTGAAACAATTAGATTAAAAAGTTGTTTTCCAAGCATTATTTCAGGAGGATTTTTTGTTCCTCTTTTGGGATGTATTTACTACTATTACAAGGGTCCACAATCCTCCACTAGTTTACCCTCAAAAGCAACTTTACTTTTTTAAATGACAATTCCAACATTCCATTTGACAACTACTACTCAATTCAAATGGATTTCCATTGACAAATTGACAACCACAAAAATGATATTGTAAAACCGTTTCATAGAAGCGCCAAGAAAGATTGAATTGGCCAAATTAAGAAAAGAAACAAGAGTGTGGAATGCCAAAACTTCCCCCAAAAATGGGTCGTGAAATGCTCGAATTCAGATTTAGTCAGTTGTCAGACCCCTATATGAGTATAATATATACCGAGCGAGAAACCAAAAAAACAAACTGAATGCAAACAGTAGCCTAAGAAATCCTCCTTGCATGAAAAAAATGGGCAACATCAACAAATTTCAACCAAGTAGAATCAAGCTTTCTGATGCTTATGTATGGCAAAGTAAAATCAATATTGAAAGAATAATTACATTAAGTTAATGTACAACTGCATGAGATTATTAGATATAACAACAACTCTATGTCATGTGGAGTTACCTATATTTGCTATGTAATGAAACAATGTTTTGCGGATCTATAATAAACATAACGTCCAATTTTTTTTAAGCAAATCCTCATCTAGATACATAGACATTTCTGATGGTAGACGAAGCTACATCAACTTGAAGTAAATCTCTAATAACACAACTGCAGTAAACTTAATTCTATACTTTTGCTTTTCCCACTTTGGTTAGTCTTATATTTGTGTGGATGCTAGGGTAAATTGCTATTGCTATGATTATACTTGTTAAAGAATGACAAAAGTCCCACATCGGTGGTTAATGAGATGGGTGGACTCCTTATAAGGCTTGGGCAATCCTCTTCCCTTTGAGCTAGCTTTTGGGGTGTGAGTTAGGCCTAAGACCTAATTTAACACAGCTTACACAAGGCAAATATTATAGCCCATCGATCAGACTTTTGAATACCTACATCTTCTTCTTTTTTCAGTCTCTTCTCTTGGAGGAAGCAAGAGTCAGATGGCTACCTAAGCTTTTCAATCTCAAAAAATGTTGTGTGAACATCAAGTTTTCTTTTCTTTACTTTCTATGATTAACTACAAATCCCAGTCCTTCTTCATGAAAGAAAACCACAATAACTCCAGATTGCTCCCTTTGCATAATCTCAAATAAGTTGTCAAACATTGAAAATAACAGATGTAAAGAAAAAAAGGACTCCAAGGATTTGCCACTACTCAATATTGTAACAAATGGCTGACAAGTTAATACAATGATGCTCCTTTGGCCTTCACCTAACTTATTTCAACCTTCTCAATAGTAGCAAACTTACAATCTCCAAACCTTAAAACAGATTAGACATTGAGATATATATTTTCTTTAGACGTGATATTAGATATAGTATCTCCATCACAAGCAATATAAAGGAAGACATATTAAATAGTAATAAAAAGGGATCAGGAGGAGTAAACAAACCATTTGTGTGCCGAGAACTTGATAATTCTCAAAGGCTTCGGGGGTTATGTATTCAGTAACACTAACATGTATGGATGACTCTAGATGTGCAATGATTGTTCACTGATGTAACAATAAAATTATTTATTCAGTTGTGAACTTTATGATTTTATTTCAATTTAGGTTTAAATAAAACCATAGGAAAAAACTTGTTACTCTGTTAGATAATATTTTGGAATTTTGAATAAAACTACTCGCATCTTTTTATTAGTAAATAAAATTTATACAAAATTATCCAACTAGTTGTATTGCAAATAAATGACTAACATCTTATAAGAGTAATATGACATTATCTATTAAGATAGATTCTTTAAAGTTACTAAAATATTCAAGATAATAAATGAAAATAATTCAATCAAAACTAATAAGATTTCTTACATGCTTCTAGTTTGATCAATCAAAAATAAAATTTTAAGTCATTATCTATAAAATTAACACAACTTAGTGAAAAAATGAATTTACTTTTACGAATTTAATTTTTTAGTATCAAACTTAACTAGAAAAGAATAACATTAAAAATTTTATGCGGGGTGAGTCTATGGGGCGGAGCGGATTCCTTATATATATATATATAGTTCTTGGTATAAGTAACATACCCAAAAAAAAATATGAAAAAAGGCTCGAAAGATTTCAACTTCATTCAATATGGTTGCAAGATTCTCCCAGATAGTATTCCATTGGTAAATACTTTTTTTTCTTTCAATTTTTGTTCAAGTCTTATGAATTAATAATCTAATTCCTTTTTTTAAACATGAACAGAAGAAGCCTATAGGGGTGTACAAGACTGACGAGAGTACAAAGTTTATCTCCCATTACCAATGAAGAAGCGATTCAATCTTGATACTGATGATATGGCGGAAAAATGCAGCAATCTTATGGCTGGAATTGTTGTTTGTTCAACTGGTCTTGCGCTTTATAAGTGGGTAGAATAGGAGGAAGCCCAAGAAAACACAGTTGATGGGATTCTGATTCCAAAACGTGTGACAATATTGCACAGAGCACAAATAAGTACATAGAAAACTGAAAAAAAAGGGCTCCAGAAATTTCAATTACATTCATTCAACATGATGGCCAAATTCGGCCAACTGTTTTTTGAACAGTTCAAAACTCAAGGTGGGAAATGCATTGAGAAGGTGATAACTCCACCATTGAAGAAGCTCAGAATGAATGAGGTGAAAAGCTTTCTTTTTTCCTTTCAATTTTTGTTCTTCTTGAAAGAAGAATCTTGCACAGAGCAAATATAGATAGACAAAAACATGAAATGGAGAAAAAAGGGTTGCAGAACAATGAAAACAAGTCATAGGGTGAGGTTTCAAACTTTTTTCTCTTTATTCTGATGGTAAAATACGTATAGAGTCTGCAAATCTTGATTCGATTGAATTCATTTCATTCATCATGGACTTGTGTGAAGTAGAGATTACTTCCACGAAAACCATAAGAGAGTTGACATTGCCAAAAACTTTGCAAGAATTAGAATTCGTTCTGTTATATTTAGATCCTGTAAGTCTTAGTGATGGTACAGCTGGTTTAGAGATATTTTGTAGTTGTGTGCTTGTTCCAAATATTTGAGTTTGATTTGTGATACTAAAGAGGTAACCCTTTTTCTTTCCTCCATATGTTTACGATGTTCTTTAATTGTATGCCATACTGCATTTTCTTGATGCCCACGCCCAACTCTGGAACCCTTGCAAATGAAATTATTGCTTACATATCAACATAGTTTTGCTAGATGAAAATTATGAAACTTTTGAAGTTGATAAGGGTAATAGGAAGAAAGTGTTGCATATTAGCTTACTTATAAGCTAACCTTTGGATGGCCTTATTAGAAAAAAACTATTGTTTGATGGCTTTTTTGGATTAAAAGGCCTGAAGAGGCCTAGATTCATAAATAAAACAGATATGGAAGCCATAACACTACGTTTGGGTAAGAAATGTTGGAGTCGTTTGCTCATCCCAAGCATTTGAATTTGATTTGCGTGTTTGTACAGGTTAACCACTTAAAGCTCATAGAATACATATGTGCTAATCATCTTTAATGTTCCTTTATTGCATGACAGAACTTTGTCTTGATGCACATCTCCAAATTCCTAATCCTTGCTAGAGTATATATATTGAGTCAAACACAAAGAAAGTTCTTGCAAATTTTATTATTGGTAGCACATCAAAAATAGGTTGATTGGATGAAATATGGCGAAAGCTTTGATTTGAGAAGTGTAATAGGAGCATAGTGTATCGCCCCAGAAGGCGTCACATTAAAATCCAGCGTTTTCGGGGGCGAGGCAGAATCGTCGGGTCTCCAACAGCGTACAGATTTCATTCCGTCTTTCGGAGGCAATTTGGAGAACCTTGATGATCATGTGGTGACCATGATTTTCAGCCAGCAAGGGCCCAGCAGAAGGGACAAGACTGCCTGAATTTAAGGAACACTCCACCATACCTTTGACTTGTAAAGACACCCTTGTAGCCCATTATTTTAGGAGAACTTGTCCCCAAACGTTTTAGCTTTGGTTTTTCAGCCTTTAGACATATATGTAGGAAGGTTCACTTGTATGTAGAACACTTAGAGAAAATATCAAGAAAATTGGCACTTGCCTCCCAAAGCTTGCTTCCTTTAATTGCTTTCTAGTTAGCTGTTTTAGACAGATTGCTAGGCACGTTTTGAGTGCTTGTTTGAGTGAGGACTGAGCATCCGAGGAGCTGTGCAAGCCTTCAGTTGCTGTCCCACGAGCCTTCGAAAAATAGGCCCGTGACAAGTGGTATCAGAGCACCGGTTAAAGCATGACGTCGAAGTCTCAACGCAACGAAGAAGGAGAGCCGGAAGCTAGGAGGGACACTGCCAGAAAACGTGACAAGAGCAGGGTAAGAGAGTCTTCTTCCAACCCTCCTGTTGGGGGCAGGAGCCTTGGGGAAGAGGGAGAAGTTTCTGACACCAGCCAACTCGACGAGAAGATCCTCGGAGTTGAGGCTGGTCTGTCGGCCTTGAACATGCGACTTGCAGTTTTCGAAAATAACTTCACCACCCTCGAAACAGTTGCTCTTGAAGGTTTCGATGAGGTGAAGGGTAACCTTGAAGAGCTTGAAGAGGTTAACAAGGAAGGACTGACCAACCTCGAACTCAAGCTCACCGAAGCTCTCTCCTCTCTTCACCGAGAGTTTGAGACCTTGAAGAGGCAGGTTGATGAGACTGCCACTGCGGGAGTTGCTGGTCCCGTCACTGTCCGTGAGACACGGATTGAAGCTCCTAAGCCAAAGGAGTTTCGTGGTGAAAGGAATGCCCAAGATGTTGAGAACTTCTTGTGGCAAATGGATGCTTATTTCGAGCATGTTTGCATGACCAGTGAAGCTGCCAAGATTCGGACAGCAGCTATGTACTTGAGCGACACCGCCATGCTGTGGTGGCGGAGGAAAAAGGCGGACATGGAGAGAGGGGTTTGTCCTTAGACGATTGGGAGCAGTTCAAAGGGGAGTTGAAGCGACAGTTTTATCCTCAAAACGTAGTGCATGAAGCTCGTCGGAAGTTGAGGGAATTGAAGCAAACATCCTCCATTCGGGACTACGTGAAGGAGTTCACGAGACTCACTCTCCAAATTCCGAGTTTGACAAGTGAGGACTTGTTGTTCTACTTCTTGGATGGCCTCCAAAACTGGGCCAAACAAGAGCTCCAAAGGCGACAAGTTCGTGATGTTGACGAAGCGATCGTAGTGGCAGAATCGCTCAATGACTTTCGGGCAGAAGCAGCGAAGGGGAGGGACAATCGGAGCAAAAATGTTCCTCCAAGAGGGGATAGCAGTCGAACCAAGAACAGGCCAGTTCCCAACAGAGGCATCGATACAAGAGGTAACAATCGCAACCAACCTTCTAATTTCCGCAAGAACTATGAGGATCGTAAGAAAGGCGCTCCACATCGTGAGGGTTGTTATATTTGTGGTGAAACTACCCATGCTGCCCGTTACTGTCCGTCCTTAAGTAAATTAAATGCAATAGTTGCTGCTCAAAAACAGCAAGAACAGGTTGCATCGCAAACTGGAGGTCCATCCGGTGAGCAAGGCGGACAGGCTAGCGGGGCTGAAAAGAGTAAGAATGTTGATGTTGGGATGTTTAATCATATAACTCTTGCTGCGTTGGCTGCCCAGCCGGCTAGTATAAGGCCGCGCGAATCGTTGTTTGTCAATGCCAAGTTGAATGGCAAAGACGTTAGAATTATGGTAGACACAGGTGCAACTCACAATTTTGTAACAAAGGAAAGGGCCACCGACCTTTGCCTGAATTACGTTGCTAGTGATACAATGCTGAAAACCGTCAACGCCCTTCCCACAATTGTCCACGGATTCGCTCCTAAAGTTCCTATCGGGTTAGGAGGGTGGAAGAGGCTGGCAGATTTCACCATTGCGCCCATGGATGTTTTTGACATTATTTTGGGGCTGGATTTTTGGTATGAAGTGAACGCGTTTATTTCGCCGCGTCTCAACCAACTGCACATTAGCGATGCTGGAGGTTCATACGTGGTGCCCCTTATTCGGGTGCCACAAAACAGAGTACATTTGTCCGCCATACAGCTTGTTAAGGGCTACAAGAGAGGGGAACCAACCTTCCTTGCTGCCCTTGTTGGAGGCGTCGGAGACTCGATAGAGGCAACAACCTTGCCTCACTGTGTCGAGCAGGTCCTCTATGATAATAGGGACGTGATGCCGGAAGAACTTCCCCAATGGTTGCCACCACGGAGGGAAGTTGATCATCAGATTGAACTGGTTCCCGGGGCAAAGCCACCTGCCATGACCCCTTATCGTATGGCGCCCCCAGAATTAGAGGAACTGAGGAAGCAGCTCAAGGAGTTGCTGGAAGCTGGGCATATCAGGCCTTCGAAGGGGCCTTTTGGTGCGCCTCTTTTGTTCCAAAAGAAGAAGGAAGGGACGTTGCGCTTGTGTATTGATTATCGGGCCCTCAACAAGGTCACGGTGAAGAATAAGTATCCCATTCCCTTGATTGCAGATTTATTCGATCGATTGGGACAGGCCAAGGTGTTCACGAAAATGGACTTGAGGAAGGGTTACTACCAAGTCCGAATTGCTGAAGGTGATGAGCCAAAGACGACTTGTGTCACTCGTTATGGTGCCTTTGAGTGGCTGGTTATGCCGTTCGGCTTGACGAACGCCCCAGCTACGTTTTGTACACTGATGTACAAACTGTTCCATCCCTTTTTAGATTAGTTTGTGGTCATCTATTTGGACGACATTGTCGTTTATAGCAACAGCTTAGAGGAGCATGTCGAGCACTTGTGCAAAGTGTTCAAGGTATTGCGTGACAACGATTTGTGTGTGAAGCGGGAGAAATGCAGCTTCGCCCAGGCCACTGTCCAGTTCCTTGGGCACACGATTAGCCATGGAGAAATAAGGATGGACAGTGACAAGGTCGAGGCAATTCGGGACTGGGAGGCCCCAACGAAGGTACCAGAATTGCGGTCCTTCCTTGGCCTCGCCAATTACTATCGGCGCTTCATATTTGGGTATTCCGCTATTGCCACTCCACTCACTGACTTGCTGAAAAAGAGTCGTGAGTGGGAATGGGCAGACTCATGTCGAGATGCCTTCGAAAAGCTCAAGGTTGCCATTATTGAGGAGCCTGTTTTGGCGCTACTAGACTTCACAAAAGCTTTCGAAATTCATACCGATGCTTCTGATTTTGCTATTGGTGGCGTCCTAATGCAAGAGGGCCATCCGATAGCGTTTGAGAGCAGAAAACTGAATGATGCGGAATGACGCTATTCTGCTCATGAGAGGGAGATGACGGCCGTGGTCCATTGTTTGCGGACTTGGCGTCATTATGTATTGGGTGCTCATTTTGTTGTTAAGACGGACAACGTTGCGGCAACTTATTTTCAGTCTCAGAAGAAGCTGACTGTCAAGCAGGCCCGTTGGCAAGACTTCTTGGCTGAATTCAATTTCACGTTTGAGTACAAGCCGGGGAAGGCAAATGTTGTAGCTGACGCACTTAGTCGCAAGGCTGCCCTTGCTGCGATTATTAGCTCAACTTGCAGCAGCGTGATTGATGATATTAAAGAGGGTATGCAGCACGATCCTGTGGCCAAGCAACTTCTCGTTTTGGCCCAACAAGGCAAAACGAAGAAGTTTTGGGAAGAGAATGGCTTGCTGTACACCATAGGCAGACGTGTGTACGTGCCGAAGTGGGCTAGTTTCCGGCGTACTTTAATTAAGGAGGGTCATGATACAATGTGGGCTGGTCATCCGGGACAGAAGAGGACGTTGGCACTGCTGGAGTCTTCTTATTATTAGCCTCGAATGCGGGACGACATTGAGGTCTATGTGCGTACTTGCCTCGTTTGTCAACAAGACAAAGTTGAAACGAAGGCGCCGGGTGGACTGCTTGAGCCACTGCCGATTGCTGAGAAACCATGGGACAGTATCACCATGGATCTCATCACTTGTTTGCCGAATTCATAGGGGTTCGGGACCATTATGGTTGTTGTTGATCGCTTCTCAAAATACGCGACATTCACTGCCACGACGGCCAGCTGCAAAGCTAAATAGGCAGCCTGTATATTCTTAAGAGACGTCGTGAAACATTGGGGCATACCCAAGCACATTATTAGTGATCGAGATCCTCGATTCACCGATGCGTTTTGGCGTGAATTATTCAGCTTACTTGGGTCAGAATTGCACTTTTTGACCAGCTTTCATCCCCAAACGGACGGACAGACGGAGCGGATCAGCGCACTCTTGGAGTGCTATTTGCGGCACTATGTCAGTGCCAATCAGAAAGACTGGGCAAAGCTGCTGGACACTGCCCAATTCTCCTATAATTTACAGCGGAGTGAGGCGACGGGAAGAAGTCCATTCGAGTTAGCTACCGGACAGCAGCCCAACACGCCACAATCCTTGCCCGTCGACGCTGGTTTGAAGAGTCCGGGTGCCTATCAAATGGCAAAGGCCTGGGAAGAACAGGTCTACCTTGAAAGGTCCTACCTTGATAAGGCAGCCTGAAAAATGAAAAAGTTTGCTGATCGAAAGCGGCGTCCAGTCGACTATCGAATTAGGGATCGAGTTATGGTAACGCTCAACCCTAGACAATTCAAGTCGCTACGTGGAGTGAGTCAGAGCCTGATTCGCCGCTATGAAGGTCCTTTCGAGATTATTGTCAAGGCTAGCAAAATTTCGTATCATGTTGATATGCCCCATCACTTGAAGATACACCCGGTTTTCCATGCTAGTCAACTAAAACCGTATTTTGAAGACATGGAGGACAGGGATCGGGGGCAGACCGGTCGAGCTCAAATATTTATTACTTCACCAGTCGTGGACAAACAGATCGACGCCATTATTGATCATCAACTGGTTCGCGGCAAGGGATGGAACAATTCGAGCTCGCAATTCCTCGTCCATTGGAAAGGAACTGCACTGGAGGAGGCAACGTGGGAGAAGTACGAGGACTTGTGGCAGTTTCGTGACAAGGTCCATTCTTATTTGCAGGTGTGTGGCGCCGGGGTCGTCGCCAAGTCAGGTAGGGGAGCGTGTACCGCCCCAGAAGGCGTCACATTAAAATCCAGCATTTTCGGGGGCGAGGCAGAATCGTCGGGTCTCCAACAGCGTACAGATTTTATTCTGTCTTTCGGAGGCAATTTGGAGAACCTTGATGATCATGTGGTGACCATGATTTTCAGCCAGCAAGGGCCCAGCAGAAGGGACAAGACTGCCTGAATTTAATGAACACTCCACCATACATTTGACTTGTAAAGACACCCTTGTAGCCCATTATTTTAGGGGAACTTGTCCCCAAACGTTTTAGCTTTGGTTTTTCAGCCTTTAGACATATATGTAAGAAGGTTCACTTGTATGTAGAACACTTAGAGAAAATATCAAGAAAATTGGCACTTGCCTCCCAAAGCTTGCTTCCTTTAATTGCTTTCTAGTTAGCTGTTTTAGACAGATTGCTGGGCACGTTTTGAGTGCTTGTTTGAGTGAGGACTGAGCATCCGAGGAGCTGTGCAAACCTTCAGTTGCTGTCCCACGAGCCTTCGAAAAATAGGCCAGTGACAATAGTGTTGCATTCTGAGTTGCTTTTGATAGGAACATAGTGTTGCATTCTGAGTTGCTTTTGATGGTTGTCAGGTTATCATCTTTCCTGAGGTGGGAACTGATATATTGCCAGTAAATAATATTAAGCATCTAGAGTTAGAAATTATGTCATATCATTCTAGTACTAAAGAGTTTTTAGAAGACTTCATTTTGATTCTTCCAGATTTAGAGACTTTCTAAACGAATTGCACTGCACGACTCACTAAGGAGAGATTATAGATTGGCTAAGGATAAAACTTTAGGATATGAGTGTGGATTCACGGATTCGACTGTTTTAGTCTTATTAGGTTAGAAGTACTTTTCGTGTGTTTTTATTTCTCTTTTTATGTGATTGTGCTTAACAAACATCATATTCTATTATTGCAAATGCAGTTTTGTTGGAATGTATGCATCCACCTATGTAGATGGGACCATGTCCTCAACACAGTTACAGTAATAAATAGTAAAGAACAAATACTGAAAGTAAAGATTGACAATCAACTTTACGTGGAAACCTCATTGCTCAAGGGAGTAAAACCACGACATTTTTTCAACAGGACTTTTCAAACTGCTTCCACTAATCTTCTCCAAGAAAAAGTAAAAGTCAGCTTACAAAATGAGATTAGCCTGCTAATCTCCACACTAAGCAATACCTCCTATCACTTAGCTGAGCCAAAGAAGATACAACACTGCCCATTATACTAATCATAACCGATTAATATAGACTTTAGAGTAAGAAAACTAAGTTACACTTAACTAAGTTCTTACAATGATTCACACAAGATTGAAACGATTCTTTCACAAATGAAACGAATCCTATAATATAAGCACGATTACAAGCAAATAAAGTAACAGCTGGTACATGAAGCAAATGAAGCACTCTATCAGGTCCCTGCTATTTTTTGAAGCTTGAAATGTCTCTCTTTGAATGAATGATATATTAGACAAGAAGAATTATTATCCAATGTACAAACACCCTCTCCGCTTCTGATTGGTGGAGTACTCTGCAACTCCACCAACTTCCTGACGCAGACAGCTTTTACAGTTGTACATTATATTGACACTTGACGAGCATACTCTGCAGAGGACCAGGTCCCTGCACTTGTGTGGAGATCATCAAAATATCTAAGAGCGTTAGCACTTATCATTTCCCCCCTTTTTGATGATGACAAACAACCTATACAGAGCCTCACGTGAGTGTAAAGACATTCATTTAAATACACAACAAATTCCATCTTTGTTCAGTGCAACAATGTTCCCCCTTAGTTCAATGCCCCTAATTCCACAGCCGACTTTTACAGCAAACTTCCCCCCTTTTGACATCATTGAAAAGGTGAACCAGTAAACATATTCAAGTTAAATGCGTGGCAATAAAGAATTCAGGGCCTTGGGCCACACAAAACATGTGTATGTAAGCATAAAGAGAATATTAAACCACACATGAACAGGGCAGAAACATAAATAGCATTAGATCACAAGTACTGACCACTGAGTCAGTCAAAACAACACAAAGCCACAAGAGTTTTGAATCATGGGTTAAAGAGAAAAGAAAAACTAGGGAAACATGACACGTTTAGAATGGAGGAGGAAGGGGATTGAAGGTGCGCATAAGCATAGACAAACGCTCATTTGCATCTTCATGAGCCTTGATAAGTTGCTTGTTGAGAGCCTTAACTTCCTCACTGAGTGAGGCATTTGTCTTCAGCAGCATTGTATTCTCATCCCTCAACTTTTGCAACACCTGCTCATTTCTATCACTGGTACCAGGTCCCCTCAAAACCACCTTCTATAATTCAGACTTCAGTTTAGCTATTTCAACCTCCTTGTCATTCAAAATCCCAGTGAGATCAGTCACTTCCCGTTTAAAAGCAGCCTACTGCTCTAGAACATCTACCACTTGAGATCTTCCCCTAGCTTTTCCTTCAACATACTCACATTCCAGCAGGGTAGCAACAGTGAACATCTGCTTGGTGGTACCAGGTACCCCTCTTCCTAAAGGCACTTCAAAGTGGATGAATACAAAATTCAGCAAGTAACCATATGGAATCCCATGTTTTGTCTTTTTCCAAGTCATTACCCTGTGCATGTGTTCCAGCATAATGACAAGGAGGTTGATCTCTTCAAATTCATCAAGCTTCTCCATGAGAAAAAGATCAGCAACAGATGCCACTGTTCTCTTTTTCAGTTATGGGCACTAACACCTTGTTGATGAACTCAAAAAGCAACTGATATTCCCATTTGAGAAACTTTTCCGGTAACCCTGCATTCTTGACATCTCCACGTTTTGTGAAGAGTTTTGTGAAGTCACTGAATGGTTTACAACCTTCAATCGTTCGAATTCCTTTCACAAGAACCCCCAAAATGATCCCCAAAATTTCTTCATCCAGACATATTTCGACATCCCTAACAGTAGTCGTGATTCCACTACCTTTCAGAAGTTCCATTTTGTAGAAAAATTCACGCACCTCAGGTTCGTGCAAGTACGAAATCGGTGTTCCAAAGAGATGGTTCCATCCTTGAATGGAGACAACATCAAAAGATTTGACATGCCAAATTTGGTTAGAGTATCAAGGTCAAAGACTCTGCCATTTAAAACCTTTTAGTTCTCCATTGCCGTTATCCGCTCCTCCCTTGTCATTTCCTTTTCTTCACTTTGATTTTGCACCCTGGGACCTGGTCCCTTTACG